AGGGATAGCATGGTTATCCGTCTCAGGCCAGCCTCTACCAGGCCCTGTACAAGTTGCCTTCACTTTCTCCTCTAATTTGCACCCTCCCTGCAGTAGCCAGTGCTGTCAAACAAATTGAGAACAGGGGCAAGAAGGGACCACTTTTCACTTAATCCAGTCCTTGGAAGGTAGCAACAGAGCCTGCAAGCAGCCCACTGCCCTGCACCGGTCTGCGCCCCTTTCCAGCAGCATTCACCAAGACAGTGATGCAGGCCCTCCCTAAGGCCAGGCCTGGTGCACACACAAGCATATCGCATCCTGCTTCTGTTTCACGGGATCAATTCTGAACAGCTTGCCCCACGGCTTGCTGCAGGACATTACTGAGCGAGGCCTCTACAGCTCAGGATTGAGCCCTACAGGGATCCCTGTACCAGACCTAGCTCAAACTCACTTTTCCGTGTCCGACGCATGCCTCTGCCCCACCGCCGCTACCAAGCCCAGGCAGGACTGCGTCTGTTCTCCCACCAAGTGACATCAGCGCAGAGCTGTTTGGCACGTCCCTTTCATCCTCCACCATGGGGTAGGCACAGGGGCTTGCCCAGCTCCCAGTCTGGAGCTCACCTGGCATTTCCAAAGCTGCTTTTTATAAGTATGGCCTTAAAGGGCAGGGGATAGCACAACTGTTAAAAATCACCCTAGACATTTCTGCACAGATTCCCCACTACCACCATTGCTCCGTGGAAATAAAGTTACAAGTAGAGCCAAGGAAATGGTGCCCCAGCTGCTAAGTTAAAAACAGATCCAATGGTATTTACTGCAGACAAGTCCCTAAGAACTCTCCACTTGGAATTAATGGTAAGTACCTAAGCTGCAAAGGTTTTGCAGTGCATCATGCTGGCAGACTCCACTCGGTCTCGTGCTTTGCCCAAACCAGCATCGGGGGGGGCGGCTTAAGGACATAGATCACCTCAACAAACATCATAAAAGTTGGGGGGGGGGGGGGGGGAGGGGGGACGGGGGGGGGGGAGGAGAGGGGGAACCACCCCTATTGAACTCCAGAAATGCATTTAAAAACTCTTTAGCCTAAAATATCTACATATTAAAATGCCAAGAAAAGCAGTACCAAAGCTGTAAGCTTTCAAAAGCCCAAGATCAAAGTGCTATCAGCTTTTAATTTAAACCTTTTGTTGCATCAACAGTCTTAAGAGGGATGAGAGAGATCAAAATAAAAACTGAAACAAACTGTGGCTTTGTAGCTGTTTTTGTTATAGTCGCTTCTCTCAATTTGGGCCATGAAATAGGTCAGCTCCATTACTGATCAGCCTTCCCACAAATATTTAAAACAAATTGAATTGCACACCCAATACCCATCACAATTACGCCAGGCACAATAACTAAATTAGCAATTCAACAAAATAATTGGAAATGCGATGCTCTCCATTCCACAGCCTCCCTCAGGGCTTTAGCCGTTCTATGGGGGGAAAACTCCGCTTTACTAATTCTGCAGCTAATTAGAGACACACTTGTAAATGAAGTTGTTTGTCTGAAACTTGGAATTCGCATCTGGTGTGGGCTGGGGGAGGAGGATTAATACAGGACTCTTCGCCCCGCACCCCCCACCCCACCGCAGGTCCCCAAACACACCTTCCAGCTGATCTGCAGTGGTTTTAAAAGGTAGAATGCACAGGCATGGAGGTGCTAATTAGCAAATGTATCATGAATTAATAAAGCATTAATATCCTATTGGGAAAAACTCCTATGTGCTGTTAATTGACAGTATTAGGACAACTTAGTGGAAACTGTCCTGGTAGTTTGGCCCTTATTAAACACCGTTCAAGCCTTTTGACCAGCGAACAGCCCTGCGGTAGGATCAAGAGCCCTGTCTGCTAACCAAGCACGGCGCCGTGTTTGCCTTTCCCCTGAGCTAGGGATGCTACACCTGGCCCAAGTGGTGCAGCAGCTGTCCCAAGCTGCTCCCACCCTGAGCAGTGGCGGGCCTCTCACTTGAGACTCAGCCTTTAGCCTCCTCCCGGCAGGCCGATGCTAGTACCCACCTGGCCCACAGCAGCAGCAGGGGAGCGCAGTGTGGCATGACCAGCACAGCAGAAATAAGGTCAGGAAAGCTGCCTACAGTCATACACTTCCACAGCCCCTGCCCCAGACCTGCAACGGGGCCAGCTCAGCTGCTTAGGACCACCCCCTGTGCCACCATCCCTGGGAGTAACCACAGGCTGGTCCAGTAGTTTACTGGTGTGGTGCTAGCCAGTGGCCAGAGGCAGGGTCATGGAGCCTGTGTAAGCTTGTAGCAGCCTTGGGGAAAACCTGCCCCGTTCCAGTTGGGCATGCAAAGCCCCACGTGCCCGCTAGACCTTCAAGCTACTTTCTGAGCACATGAAACACTCTGCTAACATGCCTGCCTTCACAGTCTGCACAAGCACTGCACCCTCGCCCATCTCTGAAGCAATTCGTATTGCCCATAGTCCCACTGCCGCGCAAAGGCAGAGCTGATTAACTGAAGGCCACACTGCTGCTGGACTCCACCAAGTCACACTCAGGACACTCCAGTTGATGCCCCGGCACAGCCATGCTGCAGGCTGTGTCTCCCCAGTAGCATACGCACACCCTGGCAGCATCAGGACTCGAGCGCTGCCCTCAGCGGCAGGGTCAGCAGCTGAAACGGGGCCTTGCAGGCACCAGTCTCCTGTGGAAGGTTCTCGCGCTGTATCACACTACCCAGGTGGGGGAGAGACAAGCCTGCTTAAACACTGATAAGTAAATTCAAAAGCTTCCTTAGCAGGGCTTTGAATTTCTCTTATCTCCTCAAACAATATGAATCCGACGTTATCACGTTTCGAGTGGCTCATATTACCCTTTTAACATTACAGCCCTCGCTGAAACCCAAGTGCTGTGCGCGACAACTTTAAAGGACACAGGAGTCAAGCTGAAAAGGAGCGTTTAAGCATGCAGATTGGCCAGGCAGCGCCAAGTCAGCCCAGCAGCAGTTTATGGCAAGGAGTGCTTGCTTAAGCACCAAACCCCCCATGTAGGGCGCGGGCATCTTGCTTCCCTTTCACCAGCCTTAATGCTTGCTTACATTGGGGTGGCAGTTAAATGTTAAAAGACCACATCAGGGGCTTAAATGCACTGCAAGTACATCCCAATCCCTGATCAACACCTGGGGAAACTACTTCTGGGATGTCAATACGTTACCTGGCTGGCGCAGGAGGGAGAAATCAGCCAACCAAGGCTGCAGCTGCATGGCTTCCATGCAGTGGTGTAGGGTCAAGAGTGGGGTGAGGGTGCTTTGGGATTAGCCACAGCTGGCTCGTGTGGCAGCAAGTGGCATTCCCGTGGCTTCCCTGCACCTGTAGCTTTAAGGCTATCACAGGTATACCCACACACACATGCCGCAGATGCATGAGCAGGGAGGTGAAGCTCAAGGAGTAAGCCTGGAGCAGATCTGCACTGTGGCCGGCTCACATAAGCAAGTGGGCTGCGTGCTAGGAGCATGCGAGTGTCTGCCCCCCTCTCCTCCTCGCCCATGTCATCCAGAAGTAAGTCTGGCACTGAGCAGAGCTGCAGCACTGCTGGGGCTCCTCACATACTCACAGCTTTGTGTTTTAAGTCAGGGCAGCTTGATTTATTCCCACCCCCTGCAGGTTTAACTGTGTCCACCTCTGATCAGCAGACCGAAGCACTTGGTACCAAGCATCAGCCTGTGAATTGCCTTGCTATTGCTCACCACACTCCTGCCCAGGAGACGGCTTTCCTAAGCCTCACCATGTCCTCGCTGAGCTGTAATGCTCCTCCTCTACCTCCCAACCATACACCGCTGGTGGGTTTGTTGCTCTCTCCAGCAGCTCCCCGTATTGTTATTTAGCCTAGTGTCTCTGCCGCTGGATTTCTCCGCTCAGCCAGCCTTGCCCTCGTATGCTCTGGGGAGCACCGTCACTGGTGGAAGCGTTGCAGCATAAGGTCGTTATTTAGATCTAGGAATAGCGAGAGCGGCAGCAAGGAGTCAACAGTGACATTTAGTAAGTTTCCGCCTGGCAAATTTTGCCCGAGCAGAGAGCTGGAAAGACAGGAAAGGAAAAAAAATCAATGTGCTTCTCTGAGAGCCGCAGCTGCTGCCTTGCTGCAAGTGAACAGAAAGATTTAGTCATCCATGATACATTCCTTTTGCAAAGACAAAGTCAGTGCGGATCGTGACATGCATTTTCTAAACTTGAACAGTACCTTTTCCACAGGAGACAGGACCTGGTCCTAAAGGGTTGCAGTGGAGGGTTTTACTGAGGCCACATCCTTAGCACGTGCTGGCGTTCTCAGTTTACTATGCTGTTCCATAATATATGGCCTCTCTCTTTAATTGCCGCCTACAGCTCCAATGCCACAGCAAAGCTCAGATGCAAGAGGAGAGGTGCCAACTCGCTTCCGAATCACTCAGGTGAGCGGTGTCTGGGCCCTGGCTGCACTGAGCCGCAACACTGAACCCTTGGTACGGTCAGCCCCCAGCTTGCTACAAGCTATGCACTGCTCCAGTCTCACCTTCCACACTGCTTATGAGAGATGCATGAAGTCTGATGCACACGAGTCAATTCACGCTTTGGTTAACCAGGTTATTAAGCAGCTTTGCCCTACAACAAAGCAAACAAGTATTTAGTTTCCTTTATCTTCACTCAACCTCAGGTGAATGAATTTCAACCTGTAACAGGCAAACCACTCAAACAGGATGTAGGCTACAACCTTTGCAAGCACTTTCCATCCCTGATAACCTCTACGTTTCTATACACGAGAGGTCTGTGGCCAAGGCATGTGCGTGTGTTGACCAGGAATCTTAAAAAAATATTATTTACAATGTCAAATGGTATCAGCAGCCAAGGGGGTCAGAAACCAAAGACCCCACCTTCCCCAAAGAGGAGAGGAATGCTTCACTCAGCAATGAAAATGGCTCTAAATGAAGAGTCCTGATAACAATTCCAAACTCATTTAAAAAAAATCAGCATTAGCCCCACACACAAAAATAAAGTATTAGGTTTTATTAAAATGCAAATCAATCAACTAATCTGTCCTTCAGTTAACAGTTGAATTGCAGGATCCGTGTCAATTAAACTAGTTTCCAATTTATTCTTTGCTTGAAGGAGGGTGGTATCCTGAATTCTAAAAACCGCCTAGTACAGTTATGTATTTTATACCACCTCCACCACTTACCTTTCAGATGCTCCATCGAATGAAACATATTATTTGCTCTCATATTTTGGAGCAACTATTATTCAAGTGCCATGCAGGGTGGAACCAAATCTGATAGCAACCCCAGCCCAATATTTCTAAAAGTCTTGCATATCACTGTGGTTAAAGCAAAATACAGCACTGATACCCGTGATCAACACCATTAGGTGACTACAGACATTATGCATAACATTAGGTATAAAATACCCAAATAGGTGAATGTCCCTGTGGTACAATCAAAACTAAGGTAACACCCAATATGTACTGGTTTATAATTGGTCTCCTATGCACTTATTGCTTAGTAAAAGACGTTGGTATGTCCAGCTGTGAAATGGGTGACAATAATGCTTACCTACCTTATGCAGTGTCAGGAGACATGAGAGCTGTGCATGCAGGGCTCTTCAAGATCCTTAAATGAAAGACACTGCGCAAAGGTAAACTACTATTGACCTAAGAGAATACAGACTCCTTTGTGGTGCATTAAGGGACTACAGCTTGCTGCTTGAAACCAAAAGCATTAATTACCCTTCCTGCATTCACCCTGGGTCTATTCCTTCCCGTCTACACTAAAGCCTGGCACTGCCCTGCAAGTTTTATGGGTAAAATGGCCTTATCCACACTTCTTTGCATACTGTCCTCCACCATTTCAAGTCCTAACAGCAAAACCCTGCGGCAATGCTGGCCAAGCCAAGAGATGAGGTCTGTCCTTTCTGGTTCACTAAAGGAATGCCTGCAAGGACGCTGTTACTTGTACCCCTACAAACAACCCTCTGGCCACAAGCACCAGTGCATCTATCCCCATGACAATGACCACTCCCCCACTTAAAAGATCCTGACTACTGGTGCCCAAGCACAGACTGCCTGAAGGCCCTTTATACTGCCCAGCCTGGCAGGGAAATGCCTCTCTTCCCTTCCACCCACAGGTCTGGTTCTGCGCCTGGCGGCAAGTAGCATTGCAGCCCAAACTCATGCCACTGCCTAAACCAGGAACCATCCCTGCACCAACCCAGTCTTGGCCACTCAGTTTGCAAAACGTTTTAATCAGCTTGTATAAAAAGCAAAACGCAGATACCGCGGGTAAACACTGTGGACCAGCAATGGCCAGCTTGCTGTTACACATCATACATATGCACGTATTGCTTAGGCAAGATAATCTCCATCTCAGAGTGATCACAGCAGGCTAATAAATCCCCCTTATGGGATTTTAATTCCCAGCTTTTGACCTTCGGATGAAAAAACAAGTGAATCATCTCCTCTGGCCAGATTTACACCGGTACTCACCCCTACAGAAAGCGTGTCACTGGGGGAAGGCAGGGAGAAGTACACGGCAGCAGCAAAAATAATTATGTGTGGAACATCAGAGCGGGCCTGAAACCTCACCAATATCTTCCGACTGCAAAAACTAGTCCTGGCCACGTGAGTGCGTTCTGATGGATGCCAATGTGTCAATGCCCTTGTACGCTTTATAGATGTTGCTTTTGGCAGGTGGAGGGTTTCAATTCACACCATCCATGAAGAGAGCACACGTTTTCATGCACCAGAACCAGGTGTTGCCAGACCAGGCCTCGGGAGGCTGGACACACTGGGCACACCAGCCATCGCTGGGGCATCCTGAGTTCAGTGGCACTCCACAGTGGCCACAGGGCAGACTGCAAGACCACGGCCATGAATGGCCTTCTGCAATTAGCACAAATGGATCCTTACAGAAACCACAACGCAGCTCATTTTAAAAGATGATGTGGCTCCCTCTAGCTGGGCTAGATCTCCTTGCACTTATGATTGGGGCTGACCTGCCACTGTACAAACTAGCTACAACCCTGCACGAAATGAAGTAGAATGATCCCCAGCAAATGAAAAGACACTTTAACAGGCAGGCACCACTCCCTTCCTCCTCTTACGTTGCAAAGGAACGATGCTAGAGCTTCCCCATACACAGGAAGCCGTATTTATTTGTTATACTGTAGTCAAGTAATGGAGTCCACATTGGGGTTTTTAGTCACAGGGGTCGGTGAGAGCTGGAAGCTGGTCCCCACACCGCCTCCACCATCTCTCCCCCCGAACACATACAAGGAACGACTGCAATTAAGGCCATATCATTAAGCAAGTGGAGCTGCCTCTTCTCAACTGGACTAGACATGGCAGCCTGGAGGGTCCCCGGTGTTGCATAGGCAAGTGTCCAACCACACACAAAGGATCCATTTGTACGTTGGCCAAAACGCAGAGAATAAGAACGAAAACGTCCTCCTGCTCCCAAGGGTCGGCTGCTAATTCTGCGGGAGAGCATCGGGGTGCGTGATTTTTCCAAACAGCGATCGATAAAGCTCCGTCCTGTGGAGGGGGGGGAATAAAAAAAAAAGGGAAAGTAACTTTTCAAGGTCAAACTGGAAGCAGAAGGCAGGCAGCAATATCAAATGAAAGGGCCCCTGTATAATTAAAAATGCATTCAACAATCTTTATTAATAAATACAAGTGCAGGGAATGACTTACATAAGACCAATCACATGCAGTACAGAAATATGTAAATATGTCAGTGTGGCTGGGTACCATATCTCTAGGGAATGAGGTTTTCTATAAGTTTGCCCTTTACAGACAGGCTCTTCAAGTAAGAAAACAAGATTGAATATTTTAATAGGATGTATGAGACCGCAGAGCCATAAGGAGGATTCAATCAGACAGCCTACGTGGGACTATAATTTGGTTTTCATACATTTTCTTGGACTTGACGGTACTTGAAAAACAATGAAAGTGACCCAGCAACAAGATTCCAATTAATATCACATATGCAGCAGTTCTGATAAGAGGGGCAAGATTCCCTGTTTAAAAAAAAAATAAAAAAAAATAGACGGCCAGTTTAAATTTATTTATTTTTAATTTTAAAACCTAAGCATCCTGACTAGGCAGGGAAGGCAGACGGGTGAGGAAGAACAGCAAATTAATACACCCTTCAGCGGTAAAACCAAAACTCATCCAGTTGCAAAAATATAAGGACTGTGGGCGTTTATACACCTACATTTATCCGCTTCGATGTGCCAGAGATCCGGCAGGTCGGAGCAGACTCAATTAACCTTTGATGCGTTTTATTTTAAAAGTGCGCCGCCGCCATTTTCTCAGCACTGACGTGCATTTCGCCATTTTTATAAACGCACGACGCAGCGCTGGGCGCTTTTAAAAGCACCCAGCGCTGCGGCACAAGCATATGTACAAGTGCCCTGCGTGACAAACGCCTACTGCCCAAGCCAAAAAGGCTCTTTAATTGGATCCTGGACTCAATACAGGAAGAACAAATGCACCAACTGGTAAAAATTATTGTGTGTTAACCAAGGATTATTAAAAAAACTTATTTTAAATGAAGTCTGTGACCCTGAGGTTCGGAGGTTGA